GGGGGGGGGGGGAGATGATCATAGATTGTTGTCAATGAATGTAAATTTTTTTCTGTTTGATTGTTGTGGTTTCTTTTTCTTTCTTTCTTTTGTGAGGGCGATTAGAGGGGGAAGAAGGGATCCGAGGGGGTGTGGGGGTGATGTGGAAGGTGGGGTGGAAGTAATAACCTTCCACAACCCAGAGGGAGGAACAACCCGTCCATCGCTGGTAATATGTTTGCTCACATGGACAATTTCTGTTACTTGGGAACGAAAAAACAACAACCAAATAACAAAAATAAAACAAAAACAGGGTAACTGATACTGACGTTTTTCCTCACAGATCTGTATATTATTTCAGTTGTCCAGCTCATTGTAATGTACGAAGTTATACTGTTGATATTGTTGTATTATTATTACTGTTGTAATATTGAAACTGTTGTAATATTAATACTGTTGTAATATATTGATGCTGTTGTTATATTTCAACCTCTGCTCAAAATGCATACATATTATGTATTGAGATTGCATTTGTTTTGATGCAGATATCATGTACATGTATATTGTATTATAAATATTTTATGGTTTTCTGAGAATCGTGGAAGTCTGGAGCTGGTGTCTGGGAGATCTGAATAAAAGAGTCTGGGTGTGAAGATGAGGTCATCGTGTCTCTTGTCTTGTATTCTAATTTTTATACTCGGTTGAGTTCAGTTAGAGCATTATTAGATCTAGGTGGCGAACTTTGGACCCCGCCTGACAGGGCCTATCCGGGCTGAGACGGATGACAGAAGATATTCGGAGACGTCTCCGGCGAGCACCCAGGAACTATTCGGAGACGCACTCCCACACACAGATGCACTGCTTTGGGGGGGTCAAACTGCTTATAGTATGCTGCAGATCACACGTATAGCCACTAAAACTGTCACAAATCAATTATTCCCAAGAAAATGTTTAACCTAACTGCAAAATATCAAATTAGGGATTAAAACAGATGTCCCTGTAACCCCACTGATTTTTTTACTTGGTCTAGAGGCACAACGCATTTTGATTGGTCTATCTCCGTTGGAGACGTCTCCGAATAGATACTGTGGAGAGGGATACAAGATCCCACCAGAAAGACTGAGGTACTCGATTTTTTTTTTTTATCTCCCCTCTAGGGAATCGAACTCAGGTCTCCTGTGTGCGACAACGGGAAGCCGATAATGTTTGTGAATCGTGTTCTAGGGTCCTCTGGGATAATGATAGTCGTACAGCGCATAGAGCTACCTATGCTGCAGAGCGTGGACATGCGTCATATCGCTACCTCAGAATTTGTCGCTTTTAATGACTAGCGTGCTAACCCGGATTTCGGGGAGTTGTAGAAATTTTGACCTACTCCAAAAGTGGGCATTGCCCTACCTAAAGGAGACGTTTGGTTTCATTGGTGTGTATATTTGGCTGATTATGGAGAAAACTCTCCTTGTCTTTTAAAGAAACTGAACAAGGTTCCAAAAACGTTATCTTCGATTTTCTCAAAACAGCATTTTTCGGGATAGCCCTCTTGTGCTTAAAAGCGACCAATTACAAGTTATATCTGGCATGATAACATCTGGTGCCAAATGTTGAACAGAAATAAAACAGAGAATTGCACCGGCTAAGGCAAAGTTTCAATAAAATTAGCCCAATCCTGAAAAATAGAAACATCTCAATGACTACCAAAATGAAAGTTCTGAAATGCTTTGTTCGTTCAACCCTTCTATATATGGGTGTGAATGCTTGTCAGTCACTAAAGACAGTGAAAATAAAATAGAAGCAACAAGAATTTGATTTCTTAGGAGACTGCTAAGATTATCGTGGAAGGAAAAGAAATCAAATGAGGTAGTACTTGATATATTGGCGGTAATGGGCAGTGTGTAGATCTAAATACTGATCCATGATAGATCTAGAAAGCTTGGGGATGTTCCATGTCTGTAGGATTCAAGAACCTCTCAACAGGAAGGTATAAATGTCAGTGTTGTAAGCCGTAAATAAGTCTTGTTAGCAATGGACACAAAAAGTGTTGAGCCTAAACAGAAAAAAGTCGACAAAAATAAAACAGGCGGGCAAATGTCTGTTTCTCCTATTTCGTTATTTTGACGAGAGCCTGAATTAATAGCAATGACACTCATATAGTTAGGCTGCTATTGCCACCTTTAAATAAAAACAAACAAATAAAAAAAGCCCCAAAACAACAAAACGAAAACTATTTAACCATTTTTTGTTTTGGTTTGGTCAGCGATCCTCGGTCCATACGTCTGTTGGCCAAAAAGAAAGACATGCGTAGAATCAATACGAAGGGAGACAATCTTAATTCTTGACAGAAGCAAAGCAATCTCGAGGTTACATCCCCGGATACCCGCAACACTGGCTTACCACCTTTTAGTTTTAGTAAGAGTTTTACGGCACTTCATAATAATAATAATAATAACAATAATAATAATAATAGTAATAATA